AGCACCAACACTAGCACTAACACTAGCACTAGCACCAGCACTAGCACCAGCACTAGCACTAGCACTAACACTAGCACTAACACTAGCACTAACACTAGCACTAACACTAGCACTAACACTAGCACCAACACGAGCACTAACACTAGCACCAACACTAGCACCAACACTAACACTAGCACCAACACTAGCACTAACACTAGCACTAACACTAGCACTAGCACCAACACTAGCACCAACACTAGCACTAACACTAGCACTAACACTAGCACTAGCACCAACACTAGCACCAACACTAGCACTAGCACCAACACTAGCACCAACACTAGCACTAACACTAACACTAGCACTAACACTAGCACCAACACTAGCACTAACACTAGCACTAACACTAGCACTAACACTAGCACTAACACTAGCACCAACACGAGCACTAACACTAGCACTAACACTAGCACCAACACTAGCACCAACACTAGCACTAGCACCAACACTAGCACCAGCACTAGCACTAACACTAACACTAGCACTAACACTAGCACTAACACTAGCACCAGCACTAACACTAGCACCAACACTAGCACCAACACTAGCACTAACACTAGCACTAACACTAGCACCAACACTAGCACCAGCACTAACACTAGCACTAACACTAGCACCAACACTAGCACCAACACTAGCACCAGCACTAACACTAGCACCAACACCAGCACCAACACTAGCACCAGCACTAACACTAGCACCAACACCAGCACCAACACTAGCACCAGCACTAACACTAGCACCAACACCAGCACTAACACTAGCACCAACACTAGCACCAACACTAGCACCAGCACTAACACCAGCACCAACACTAGCACTAACACTAGCACCAGCACTAACACTAGCACCAACACTAGCACCAACACTAGCACCAGCACTAACACTAGCACCAACACCAGCACTAACACTAGCACCAACACTAGCACCAACACTAGCACCAGCACTAACACCAGCACCAACACTAGCACCAACACTAGCACCAGCACCAACACTAGCACCAACACTAGCACCAACACTAGCACCAGCACTAACACTAGCACCAACACCAGCACCAACACTAGCACCAGCACTAACACTAGCACCAACACTAGCACCAGCACTAACACTAGCACCAACACTAGCACCAACACTAGCACCAGCACTAACACCAGCACCAACACTAGCACTAACACTAGCACCAGCACTAACACTAGCACCAACACTAGCACCAACACTAGCACCAGCACTAACACTAGCACCAACACTAGCACCAACACTAGCACCAACACTAGCACCAGCACTAACACTAGCACCAACACTAGCACCAACACTAGCACCAGCACTAACACCAGCACCAACACCAGCACTAACACTAGCACCAGCACTAACACTAGCACCAACACTAGCACCAACACTAGCACCAGCACCAACACTAGCACCAACACCAGCACTAACACTAGCACCAGTACTAACACTAGCACCAACACTAGCACCAACACTAGCACCAGCACCAACACTAGCACCAACACTAGCACCAACACTAGCACCAGCACTAACACTAGCACCAACACCAGCACTAACACTAGCACCAGCACTAACACTAGCACCAACACCAGTACCAACACTAGCACCAGCACTAACACTAGCACCAACACCACCACCACTAACACTAGCACCAGCACTAACACTAACACCAACACGAGCACTAACACTAGCACTAACACTAGCACCAACACTAGCACCAACACTAGCACCAACACTAGCACCAGCACTAACACTAGCACCAACACTAGCACTAACACTAGCACTAACACTAGCACTAACACTAACACCAGCACTAGCACCAGCACTAGCACTAACACTAGCACTAACACCAGCACTAAGACGAGCACTAACACCACCACTAACACTAGCACCAACACTAGCACTAACACTAGCACCAACACTAGCACCAGCACTAACACTAGCACTAACACCAGCACTAACACTAGTACCAACACTAGCACCAACACTAGCACCAACACTAGCACTAACACTAGCACCAACACTAGCACTAACACTAGTACCAGCACTAACACTAACACCAGCACTAACACTAGCACCAACACTAGCACCAGCACTAACACTAACACCAGCACTAACACTAGCACCAACACTAGCACTAACACTAGCACCAACACTAGCACCAACACTAGCACCAGCAATAACACTAACACTAGCACTAACACTAGCACCAACACTAGTACCAGCAATAACACTAACACTAGCACTAACACTAGCACTAACACTAGCAGCAACACTAGCACTAACACTAGCACCAACACTAGCACCAACACTAGCACCAGCAATAACACTAACACCAACACTAGCACTAACACTAGCACTAACACTAGCACCAACACTAGCACCAACACGAGCACTAACACCAGCACTAGCGCCAGCCCCTTTGTCACCATGGCTCTCCCTCCCACTCTCCCTTTCTCAGCACGACTGCCCCCCACCCCACGTCTCCCCCCCCCACATCTCCGCCCCCCCCCCCCACGTCTCCCCCCCCAACGTCTCCCCCCCCCTACGTCTCCCCCCCCCACGTCTCCCTCCCCCCACCCATGTCTCCCCTCTCCACGTCTCCCTCCCCCCCCACGTCTCCCCCCCACGTCTCCCCCCCCCCCCTTGCGTGGTGTAATGGGGAGACACTGGGAGGCCGCGATACAGAGCCAGAGGCCAGAGAATCATCAATCACTCGCGGCACACGCTGCACTGACATTACACACACAGAACACACACCATATATATATACACACACACACCACACACACAGCACACACACACAGCACACACAGCACACACACACCACACACACAGCACACACAGCACACACACACCACACACACATCACACAACACACACCACACACACACCACACACAGCACACACACACACCACACACACACATACACACACACCATATATACACACACACACCACACACACACTACACACACACAACACACACCACACACACACCAAACACACACCACACACACCACACACACAGCACACACAGCACACACACCATACACACCATATATACACACACACCACACAACCACACACACACACCACACACACCACACACACCCCACACACACATACACACCACACACACCACGCACACATACACACCACACACACAGCTACACACCACACACACAGCACACACCACACACACACCACACACACCACACACACACACCACGCACACCACGCATACCACGCACACACCGCACACACCACACACACACCACACACACACACCACACACACATCACACCACACACAGACAAAGATCCCCCAGGTAGCCTCCACTGACCACTGGTCACTCATCCCCCTCGTGCCTGCACAGCGCACGAGAGGGATGGCTGATCAGCAGCACCACGACCGCCTTTGTCTCCCCAGCAGTGATGTTTTACCCATCACGCCAGGTGTGCATTCATGGCCGAGTCGACTTAAGGGAGGCCCAGGACCGGTTGAGATATTTGCCCCTGACGTTGTTTGTGAGCCGGGGATTGAACCCGAGTCGCCGGGTTCGTAACACGATGCGCTAACCACTGCGCCACCGATCCACACACGCGCACACACACGTGCACACGTTGCAGACGGCACACACCACACCATTGTAGAATGCCACGTCGTGAGCTATGGCCGTGCCACCCTGCGTGCTGTGTGTCACCCTGTGTGTCACCCTGCGTGCTGTGTGTTACCCTGTGTGTCACCCTGTGTGTCACCCTGTGTGCCACCCTGCGTGCCACCCTGTGTGTCACCCTGTGTGCTGTGCCACCCTGTGTGTCATCCTGTGTGTCACCCTGTGTACCACCCTGTGTGTCACTCTGTGTGTCACCCTGTGTGTCACCCTGTGTACCACCCTGTGTGTCACTCTGTGTGTCACCCTGTGTACCACCCTGTGTGTCACTCTGTGTGTCACCCTGTGTGCCACCCTGTGTGTCATCCTGTGTACCACCCTGTGTGTCACCCTGTGTGTCACCCTGTGTGTCACCCTGTGTGCTGTGTGTCACCCTGTGTACTACCCTGTGTGTCACCTTGTGTGTCACCCTGTGTACCACCCTGTGTGTCACTCTGTGTGTCACCCTGTGTGCCACCCTGTGTGCCACCCTGTGTGCCACCCTGTGTGTCACCCTGCGTGCTGTGTGTTACCCTGTGTGTCACCCTGTGTGTCACCCTGTGTGCCACCCTGTGTGCCACCCTGTGTGTCACCCTGTGTGTCACCCTGTGTGCCACCCTGTGTGCCACCCTGTGTGCCACCCTGTGTGCCACCCTGTGTGTCACCCTGCGTGCTGTGTGTTACCCTGTGTGTCACCCTGTGTGTCACCCTGTGTGCCACCCTGTGTGCCACCCTGTGTGCCACCCTGTGTGCCACCCTGTGTGTCACCCTGCGTGCTGTGTGTTACCCTGTGTGTTACCCTGTGTGTCACCCTGTGTGCCACCCTGTGTGCCACCTTGTGTGCCACCCTGTGTGCCACCCTGTGTGTCACCCTGCGTGCTGTGTGTTACCCTGTGTGTCACCCTGTGTGTCACCCTGTGTGCCACCCTGTGTGCCACCCTGTGTGCCACCCTGTGTGCCACCCTGTGTGCCACCCTGTGTGTCACCCTGCGTGCTGTGTGTTACCCTGTGTGTTACCCTGCGTGCTGTGTGTTACCCTATGTGTTACCCTGTGTGTCACCCTGTGTGCCACCCTGTGTGCCACCCTGTGTGCCACCCTGTGTGCCACCCTGTGTGCCACCCTGTGTGTCACCCTGCGTGCTGTGTGTTACCCTGTGTGTTACCCTGCGTGCTGTGTGTTACCCTATGTGTTACCCTGTGTGTCACCCTGTGTGCCACCCTATGTGTTACCCTGTGTGCCACCCTGTGTGCCACCCTGTGTGCTGTGTGTCACCCTGTGTGTCACCCTGTGTGCCACCTCGGAGAAGCGCTGCACGTCTTGGGTGAGGGTCCCGACGCGGCGCCACCTGAAGTGTCGCAGGAAGCGCGCGATGGCCGGGTTCACGGCGTTGTCCGAGGGCACCGTGCGCAGGAAGAAGGGGTACTTCTTCTTGTCCGCCAGCACCGGCGTCGTGGCCGCGAACGACAGCTGGGGGGGGGGGCACGGGGGGAGGGGGGGCATGGAGGGCACGGGGGAGGGGCACGTGGGGGACATGGGGGGCATGGGGGAGGGGGACACACACAGGGCACGTGAGGGGGGCATGTGGGAGGCACGGGGACATGTGGGGAGGGGGGGGGCACGTGGGAGGCACGGGGGCATGTGGGGAGGGGTGGCACACACGGGGGGGGGGCACATGGGGGACATGGGGGGCATGGGGGAGGGGGGCACACGCGGGGCACGCGGGGGGGGCATGTGGGGGGCACGGGGGGCATGAGGGCAAGGCACAGCACGCGATGTGTTATCGAGCGCCTAGTAAGTGATGCGTGGTGGTGCGTAGTGATGGTGGGGGTGGTGGTAGTGGGTGGTAGTGATGGTGGGGGGTGGGGGTGGTGGTAGTGGGTGGTAGTGATGGTGGGGGGTGGGGGTGGTGGTAGTGAGTGGTAGTGATGGTGGGGGGTGGGGGTGGTGGTAGTGGGTGGTAGTGATGGTGGGGGGTGGGGGTGGTGGTAGTGGGTGGTAGTGATGGTGGGGGGTGGGGGTGGTGGTAGTGAGTGGTAGTGATGGTGGGGGGTGGGGGTGGTGGTAGTGGGTGGTAGTGATGGTTGGGGGTGGGGGTGGTGGTAGTGGGTGGTAGTGATGGTGGGGGGTGGGGGTGGTGGGTGGAGATTAAGGCCTCGTTCACGCACTCACCGTCTCACTCACCCATTCACTCCCCTTACTGCCTCACCCACACACTCGCTCGGCCACTCATTGCCCCGTTCACCCACTCACTCGCACACTAAACTACCCACTCACCCACCCACTCAATCACTCACCCACTCAATCACACACTAAACTACCCACTCAACCTGCCACGCATCCATACCCATCCACGCCCACTCAGCCTCCCACCCACCCACTCACAGCTCACCCCTTCACACACACACACCACTCACTCACTAAACCACCCACTCACCCACCCACTCACTCACACCTCACCCCTTCACACACACACAAACCACTCACACACTCACCCACCCACTCACTCACACCTCACCCCTTCACACACACACACACCACCCACTCACTCACTAAACCACCCACTCACCCACCCACCCACTCACATCTCACCCCTTCATACACACACACACACCACTCACTCGCTAAACCACCCACTGACCCACCCACTCACACCTCACCCCTTCACACACACCACCCACTCACTCACCCACTAAACCGCCCACTCACCCACCCACTCACTCACCCACTAAACCGCCCACTCACCCAACCACCCACTCACAACTCACCCACTTAACGGACGCGTTCACCCCACGCTCTTTGACAGCTTTTGGGACTCATTACAACGCGCTGAGATTTCCCCAGAGAGAGAGAGAGGAGGAGGAGGAGAGGCAGCGTGGGAAGAGAGCGAGGAGAGAGGCAAATTGAGCTTGAGAGTGAGACAGAAGCAGAGAGAGAGACACACGGAGGAGAGTGTGAGATGTGAGAGAGGGACAGGGACAGGGTGAAGGATGGACGGGGAGAGAAATATGGGAGGGAGATTTGGGATGGAGGTGACGGGAAACAGGGATGGGAAAAGGGAGAGAAAGAGATGGTGAAAGGGGGGGGGGAGGTTTGGAGCTTGAGAGAGAGAGAGTGGGAGAGGATGGAGAGCCGGGGATGAGAGGGCGGAAGAGAGGGAAGGGGTAAGGAGAGCAGAACGTGAAATCTTTTGTGAAAATTTTCATTTTAAAGGGGGGGAGTTACATAAAGCAAAGCATTAAAAAAACCAAAAACGAAATGATGAACGAAGCAAAGTGCCGACTGCACCGAGCATCTTCTTGTTTCCTCTGATCGTAAAAAGGAAAGAGGGAGGGAGGGAAGGAGGAGAGAGCTGTAGACCCAGGGAGAGGGAGGAGAGAGAGACTGCGGGAGAGGGTAAGGTTCGAGGTGATAGGAGATAGGGATGGGAGGAACGAGGGAGGGAGTAACGGAGAGAGGAGAGAGAGAGAGAGCGGAAGACGACATTCAGGGATTGAGGGCGAGACAGGGAGAGGGGGCGGGTGGGGGGGATGAGGTGAAGCTGCTGATTTACGAAGGACATGGCCCAGATTTGGTGACGACGATGATGATGACGATGTCCTCAGAGGACGACATTGCCTCCCCAGTACATACATCATTATACATACACGCATACACACTACACTACACACACACGCGCACACACAAAGACAAAGATCCCCCGTATAGCCTATCAACAGACCGTTGGGGCAAGTGCTGTTGGCGAGCACCTATGAAGTCCGGCACGGGCACACAGCGGGTGGGTGGCCTGCACCACGCCAGACTCATCCTCCTCGTCACCCTCACCACCCTCACCACCCTCACCCGAATCCTTCCACACCCCGGCCACCCTCACCCACTCACCAACCCTCATCGCCCGGTGGGTGGGGGGGGGAATGGGGGTCGCGATTGATATCTGAGCGCGGTTTCTAATGCCGACTCTTTCATCTCCCGCGCGCGTGCGTGCGTATGAACACCCAGTGCGGTCGTGTACACTTCAGCGCTGGGAAGACAAAGGCGGCCCGGGGTGGCACCGGCCATCCACTCCATTGTGTGCCACAGTGCCGGCCTTCATAGGTGCTCACTAACAGCACTTGCCCCGAATGTCTGCGCAGGCTATAAGGGGGAGCTTTGTGTGTGTGCACTCGTGTGTGTTGGCCTTCATAGTCCACAATTTCGACCTTCATAGGCCGGCTACTCGCTAACAGCACTTGCCCCCACAGTCTGTTAAGGCTATACGGGGGATCTTTGTCTTTGTTGTATTCGCGCTGTGACGCGCACGGCGCTCCGTCTCTCACGCAGCGTGGCCCTTCGCACTCCTACCGCTGCCAGTTGTGGAAAGTCCACATTACTATGACGGGGGATGGCGGTGAGGGGGGGGCAGCAATTCTGATGTCTACGCACCGCACCAGGTAATCGTTTAAGGCTGAGTCGACCTAGGGTAGGCCCAGACAAGGTTCAAACATTCGCCACTGTCAGCTGCCGGGTTCGTAGCGCAGCGCGCTAACCACTGCGCCACCGCGCTCTGCAACACAAAGACAAATATCCTTCATATAGCCTCAACAGACTGTTGGGGCAAGTGCTGTTAGCGAGCACCTACGAAGGCCGGCACGGCACATGAGGGGGTGGGTAGCCAGCACCACGCCCGGCCGCCTTTGTCTCCCCAGTGGCGATGTTTACTACACACCGCACCAGGTACTCATTTGAGGCTGCGTCGACCTAGGGGAGGACCGGGACCGGCTCAGATAATCGTCACCGGTGGTGTTGGCCGTGTGCGAGAATCGAACTCGGCTCGCCGGGTTCGTAGCGCAGTGCGCTAACCGCTGTACCACCGCTCCCCCACACACGCGCTACCGCACGCGAACACACACACTCACAGCTACCGGATTATGAGACGCGCACCCTCCCCTCCCACCTCACAAGTTTTGCTTGAAAACAAAACCCCTGGGGGGAGTGGCCGTGCATCTTCTAGAGCAGGAGGGAGGAGGAGGGGGGGGCACGTGGTGCTGGGGTTAAATATATCTCGAAGTCACGGTCACGTGGCAGCCTCCAGGCGACGGCTCCCCCCGCGGTGATTCATGCGCGGCCAAAATCAATCGCGAAATAAACCGATTCATATCGTGACACACGCACCTGTGTCTCTCCACCGGTGCTGCTCTCTCCCTACACCTGTGTCTCTGTGTGTGTCTCTGTGTCTCTCTCTATCTCCTTGTCTCTGTGTCTCACTGTCTCTCTCTATGTCTCCCTCTGTGTCTGTCTTTGTGTCTCTCTCTGTGTCTCTCTCTGTGTCTTTCTGTCTCTCTCTGTGTCTCTGTGTCTCTCTGTCTCTCTCTGTGTCTCTCTCTGTGTCTCTCTGTCTCTCTCTGTGTCTCTGTGTCTCTCTGTCTCTCTCTGTGTTTCTCTCTGTCTCTCTCTGTGTCTCTGTGTCTCTCTCTGTCTCTCTCTGTGTCTCTATCTGTGTCTCTCTCTGTGTCTCTACTCCTGTTTCTCTCTCTGTGTCTCTGTGTCTCTCTCTGTGTCTCTATCTGTGTCTCTGTGTCTCTCTCTGTGTCTCTGTGTCTCTCTCTGTGTGTCTCTCTGTGTCCCTCTCTGTGTCTCTGTGTCTCTCTCTGTGTCTCTCTCTGCACCTGTGTCTCTACTTGCAACAGTTTGATTCCCGCTCACGACAAACATCATCAGCAGCGAGTGATATCCGATTCCGTCCTGGGCCTTCCCTAGGTCGACTCAGCCTCAAATGAGTACCCGGTGCGGCGCGTAAAAAAAAAATCGTCACTGGGGAGACAAAGGCGGCCGGGCGTGGTGCTGGCCACCCACCCGTTCTCGTGTCCTGTTATTCTTCATAGGTGCCACCCGCTCACAAAAACTTGCCCCAACAGTCTGCTGAGGCTTCAGGGGGGATCTTTGTCTTTAGTGTGCGTGCGTGCCTCGAGTGACAGCGTACCGCTCACAGCACTTGCCCCAGCAGGGCTACACGGTGGATGGGGGGGGAGGGGTGAACCTTTGCCTTTATCTTTGTACCTGCACGAGGTCCCATGAGAGGAGGGCCTCGGCGATGGTGGCCGTCACGGTGGGGCAGACGCCGCCGAACACCAACGAAGTGTTGGGCCCGAAGTTGATGGCGTCGAAGAACGCCTTGAGGCCCTTGGCGTTGTCGCACTGCGCGTGGTGGGGGCGGAGGGGACGGGGGGGGGAGGGGTGGGGGCAAGGGGAGGGGGGGAACAAGGAAGAAGAATCATGCACACGCACCGGAGCTCTGTGACGCTTCCCAATGACGCGTCAACCGCCCTCCGAGACGTTTGCTTGAGCTGGGGAACCGATCTGGACACGTTCATCAATACCGCTGGGCGTGGTGCGTCGCCTTAAAATAACATATCTATATAATTAAACAGGCAACGTTTTGAGTGATGGCCCTTCTTCATCTGATGTGCTCTGAAGAAGGGTCATTGCCCGAAACGTCAGCTGTTATTAGCATAGGTTTCATCCTTTCTGGCAATAAAACAGGTGGTTAAGATTATGAAACCTCCTTTACCAGTGGCAAAATATAGTAGTAGGTTTTTACCCTTTAAACTGGTACAAAACTGACACCTTTATTCAAGGCATCATGTTTGCAATAACCACAACACAAGCAGTTAAAATGCAAACAAAAAGAAACAACTTTGATAATGGCAATGATATTTTGCCACTGGTAAAGGAGGTCTCATAGTGTAAATGCTTACCCCGAGCTCTTAATACTCTGTTAGTGCACTGTTTTTGATTATCATTACCATTATCAGAGTTGTTTCTTTTTGTTTGCATTTTGACTGCTTGTGTTGTGGTTATTGCAAACATGATGCCTTGTATAAAGGTGTCATTTTGTACAAGTTTAAAGGGTAAAAACCTATCACTAGGTGGTTAAGATGTTCAAACACCGAACAGGAACCGTTTTGCAAGGTATCGTGTACTGCATTAACCACTCAAAACATGCACACACACATGCTCCTGATGATACACGCTTTGTCTTCGAAACTGATTGGCCTACACCAGAGACAGCGGCCTTCTTCGTGGCCTTGTCTCACCACCAGTGTCAGACCAGAGAACAGCGGCAAAAGGCGAACCAGTACAAGTACAATGCCACTATCAGATAATTTATATCTCGGGGTGAGTAGCTATATAATTGGATACCTTTTTTGCCAGTAGCAAACTAAGAATGGGTTTCACCTTTACCGGCAATAGAACTGGAGGTTGTTAAGATGTTTAAACACCAAATACTTCTTGGAAGGCATCAAGTTTGCACCAGTGACGTGCGGTGAGGTCAATGGCTGGGGAGGCACTGGCTCGTGTCAGAGCCAGATTCACACACTGAGGGGGGCGTGTCCTCAATGAGGGGGGCGTGTCCTCACGGAGGGGGCGTGGCTTCACTGAGGGGGCGTGTCTTCACTGAGGGGCGTGTCCTCACTGAGGGGGCGTGTCTTCACGGAGGGGGCGTGTCCTCATTGAGGGGGCGTGTCCTCACGGAGGGGGGCGTGGCCTCATTGAGGGGGGCGTGGTCTCGCGGAGGGGGCGTGGCCTCGCGTGTCTAACACGCCCCCCTCAGTGAGGCAGATGTGATAGCTGCCTCCCCTGGTGCTTTTTCATTGCAGTTTCGTGACGAGACCAGCGAGCCTAAATATCTTTATACACGCACATGAAATAAGTAACCTGGAGTATGGAAGGCGAGGACATGAAATGAAGGGGTCTACAAACATTACGTTGGTGACATACTGAGATAGTAACAGGCACGCACTTATTGCCCGCGCTCCACCCAGTTACTGAGGGGTTGCGTAATCAGAGGGGAGGCTGAGCTCGTCGCGGCCTCACCTCTCGTCTCTCCTTGTATTTGCAGCTGAGCTCCGCAAATTTGGCGATTTTGACTATAAAAATGATTGGAATCGTACAGAAATGACATTTATAACACAGAGCAGGGGAAAAATCTTAATATTCATTTCATTTGATTATTCTTTTTACTTTTCGTCACGGCTATTTTCATTGGAGTATGACAAGTGAGGCTCTGCCTCCCCTGCCTCCCCTGACCGCACGTCACTGGTTTGCACCAACCACAGCACCCTTCTCGAGGGCCTAGCTTCACCACCAGTCTTCTTGGTTCTTTCGGTAAAGTCACGTAGAAGGGAAATAATAAAATAATAAAAATAAAACATAATAAAATAATATAATAAGATTATATAATAATAAAATTAAGTAATAAAATAATAGAATATTTTATTATTCTTTTTATTATTTCCCTTCTACGTGACTTTACCGAAAGAACCAAGAAGATAAGTCCCTGCAGTCACGAAAGCTTTAAATGGAACTTTCACCAGCAGTGTTAGACGAGAGGACGCCCAAAAGGCGAACAGGCGTCACCTCTTCTACATTCCTCATGTTAAGGCCACCACAGACGCACACACAGACGCACACACAGACGCACACGCACGTGCCACGGAACGCGTGCAACTGTTTGGCTGCGTTTGTGCACCGCTACCAACGCAGTAGCAGCAGCAGCATCGCCAGATCGATTGGCATACTGTTCGAGACACGGTTTTGCTGGCTGGCCTCCTGCCTGGCTGGCTGGAGGAAGGGGAGGGGAAGGGGGGTGATGTGCGGGCTGATAGTGTAAAATGTAAGCTGGGATTGGGTGTGGGTGTTTTGCCACCTTTTTCACCTTGCAGAGTCCCACAAACCTGTTTATATAACGAGCGCAGCTGCTACGGGAACGCGTTCTGTCGTGTGGGGAGCTGACCCCCTCCCACACCCCCACATACCCCCCCACACACCCCTACACCCCCCCTACACCCCCCTACCCTTCCCCAAACCTCCGCCCCAATCCCACCCCCCTTTCTCCCTCCTCCTCTGCACGGCGACCGCGTAACGCCGGCGGCCTCCAAATTTCCAGACTGTCTGGGTCAACTCCGGACAGGTGGCAACCTTGAAGGATGGTGAGTGTGTGGACGGGTGGGTGAGTGGGTGAGTGAGCGGGTGAGCGGGTGGGTGGGTGAGTGGGTGAGTGAGCGGATGAGCGGGTGGGCTGGTGGGTGGGTGAGTGGGTGGGTGAATGGGTGAGTGAGCGGATGAGCGGGTGGGTGGGTGAGTGGGTGGGTGAGTGGGTGGGTGAATGGGTGAGTGAGCGGGTGAGCGGGTGGGTGGGCGGGCGGATGAGTGGGTGGGTGGGTGAGTGGGTGAGTGAGCGGGTGAGTGGGCGGGTGAGCGGGTGGGTGGGCGAGTGGATGGGTGAGCGGGTGGGTGGGTGAGCGAATGGGTGGGTGAGTGAGTGAGTGAGTGGGTGAGTGAGTGAGTGGGTGGGTGAGTGAGTGGGTGAGTGAGTGAGTGAGTGGGGTGAGTGAGTGGGGTGAGTGGGTGGGGTGAGTAGGTGAGTGATGGAGACCGTCCACACACGCTGTATATACGAGGGGGTGACCACGCCCCAAGGCCCGCACAAACGGGTTCAGGAACCCACTTGCTGAACTGCCCCCTCCCATCCTCAGCGAACCCCCGATTCCTTCATGTGGGGTCTCGCACGCACTAGCACACGTACAGCACACACACTGCACACACACTGCACGCACTTCGAACCCCACACACACACCGCACACACACCCTACACCCACACCGCACACACTCCACACACACACCCCACACGCACCCCACACGCACACACACACACCGCACACACACCCCACACCCACACCGCACACACTCCACACACACACCGCACACACACCGCACGCACCCCACACGCACCCCACACGCACCCCACACGCACCCCACACGCACCCCACACGCACCCCACACGCACCCCACACGCAACCCACACGCACCCACACGCAACCCACACGCAACCCACACGCACCCCACGCACCCACACGCACCCCACACGCACCCCACACGCACCCCACACGCACCCCACACGCACCCCACACACCCCCGCACGCACATCGCATGCACGCCGCACACACCCCACACGCACGCCGCACACACGCCACACACACCCCACACACACCCCACACGCACCCACACGCACACGCACACACACCGCACACACCCTACACATACACCACACACACACCGCACGAACCCCACACGCACACACACCGCACACACCCTACACATACACCACACGCACACCGCTCGCACACTGCACACACACCGCACACACACCGCACACACTCCACACACACTCCACACACACAACGCACACACACCGCACACACACCGCTCGCACCCCGCACACACCCCACACAAACAGCGCACGCACCCCACACGCACCCAACACACACACACCACACACACACCGCACACACGCCGCACACACGCCACACACACCCCACACACACACCCCACACACACACACCGCACGCACCCCGCACACACACACCGCACACACACCGCACACACACCGCACACACACCGCACACACACCGCACACACACCCCACACACACACACACCGCTCGCACCCTGCACACACACCGCACACACGCCACACACACCCCACACACACCCCACACACACACCACACGCACCCGCACACACACCCCTAACGCACCCTCACACAAACCGCACACACCCCACACACACCGCACGCACCTCGGGATCGCTCCATTCGGAACGCACCCCACACGCACCCCACACGCTCACCCACGCGCGCAAAGACAAAGATCCCCCGGATAGGCTGCTACAGACTATTGGGGCAAGTGTTGTTAGCGAGCCGCCACGGCGCACGAGCGGGTGGGTGGCCAGCACCACGTCCGGCCCCCTTTGTCTCCCCCGTGGCGATGTTTACACACCACACCAGGTACTCATTTGAGGCTAGGGGAGGCCCAGGGCCGGTGACGATTATCTGAATCAAACTCGGGTCGCCAGGTTCGTAGCGCAGCGCGCTAACCGCTACACTACCGCTCCTCCCCCACACACACCTCACACACACACACCCTCACACACACACCCTCACACACACCCTCACACACACGCTCACACATCCTCACACACACCCTCACACACACAAACACCCTCACACACACCCTCACACACGTACAAACACATCCCTGTGTCACAGTAATCCGGGACACCCTACCCACACACCCTACACCTCCCATGCATGCACATGCTGCACACCCCCCCCCCGACAGCCCCATGCACACCAACCCCTACACCCCCCCACACACCCCCACGTACACCCCCACGTACACCCCCACACCCCCCCACGTATACCCCGACACACCCACCACACCTCCCACGCACATCCCGCACACCCCCCCCCCCCCCCACGTACACTCCGCACACACCCCCCACACACCCCCCACGTACACCCCGCACACACAAACGGAGCCATGCACGCACGCGGTCTGCCCGGTTGTGTTTGGACACACGAGCCCATCCAGGTTACCGCGTGAACACCCCGACCGCGTGAACACCCCGACCGCGTGAACACACCACTCACAAACCCCCACACCGCACACCCCACCCGTACCCCCCACCCGCACACCCACAAAGACAAAAATCCCCCGTATAGCCTTAACAGAATGTAGGGGCAAGTGCTCTGTTAGCGAGCACCTACGAAGGCCGGTCTACTACTACGACTACAAAGACAAAGATAAAGATCCCCCGTATAGCCTTAACAGCCTGTAGGGGCAAGTGCTCTGTTAGCGAGCACCTACGAAGGCCGGTCTACTACTACGACTACAAAGACAAAGATAAAGATCCCCCGTATAGCCTTAACAGCCTGTAGGGGCAAGTGCTCTGTTAGCGAGCACCTACGAAAGCCGGTCTACTACTACGACTACTACACACACAGACACATGACCCACGCACACACCCCCCCCCCCCGCACACCCCCAGCCGCGCTACCCCAGGGCCACGCACCTCCGTGTCGTACCACTTGATGGCGAGGCGGCCGTGCTGAGTCAGCGAGGCTCCGCTCCCCTTGCTGTTAACCCGCGCCAGCGCCAGCTCCACCGCGGGCATGATGCCCCGGGCCGAGTCGGCGGGACCCGACTTCACGTCCATGGGGATGAGGCCCATGATGGCCAGCTCCCTGCCCTGGGCCCTTCTGCCGCTGCCGTGCAGCGTCCAAAGCAGTAGCAGCAGCAGCATCAGACGCAGCAGCTGTAGCATGGTGGTGGTGGTGGTGGTGGCGGTGATGGAGATGTCCCCGGGGGCTGGTTACGGATGCGTAGCGATTGAGCGATGTGCGTGGGTGATGTTGGTGTGTGTGTGTAGAGTGATAGTGTGTCGGTAGAGGTGGGTGATGTGATGGTGTGATGTGTGTGTGATGTGTGCCGGTGTGGGTGATGTTGATGGGTGTGTGTGTGTGATGTGTACCGGAGTGGGTGATGTTGATGGGTGTGTGTGTGTGGGTAGAGTGATAGTGTGTCGGTAGAGGTGGGTGATGTGATGGTTGTGTGTGTGTGATGTGTGTTGGTGTGGGTGGGTGACGGTGATGTGATGGGTGTGTGTGTGTGTGATGTGTCGGTGTGGGTGATGTTGATGGGTGTGTGTGGGTGTGGGTAGAGTGATAGTGTGATGTGTGTTGGTGTGGGTGATGTGATGGGTGTGTGTGTGTGTGTGATGTGTCGGTGTGGGTGATGTGATGGGTGTGTGTGTGTGGGTAGAGTGATAGTGTGATGTGTGTTGGTGTGGGTGGGTTATGTAATGGTGTGATGTGTGTGATGTGTGTGTGTGTGATGTGCGTCGGTGTGCGTGGGTGATGTGATGCCTGTGGATGTGGGTAGAATTATGGTGTGATTTATGCGTGTGTGGATGGGTGATATGATGGTGTTTGAAGGTGTGTGTGTGTGTAGGTGCGTAGAGTTGATGACGGTGTGTGTGTGGGTGATGTGATTATGCGTTCGTGTATGTGGGGGCTGCGTGAGGATGTGATGGTGTGTGAGACTTGTTAAATGTGTGTGTGTGGGCGATGTGGCTATGCGAGTAGAGTGATTGTGTGTAGGGATATGATGATGAGTCTGGACACGATGATGCAGATGCGATGTTTCTGTTTAGCGATGCGTGATGCTGTGATGCAGGCGATGATGCGATGTGAGGATGTCATGCAGGCGATGATGTGATGATGATGATGGTCACGGCGACGGGTAACCGAGCGCTCAGAGCACGCAATGCGAGTGCCGGTGATGTGGTGGCGAGGCGTGACATTGGAGTGGTGCGTGGATGGATGTGTAGGGTCGTGAGGATTCAAATGCCGAAAGGAATGGGGGTGCAATGGTGCGATGTGCGATGGTGTGATGTGCAATGGTGTGATGTGCGATGGTGTGATGTGCGCCGGGGTGATGCGAAGCGGTGATGTGACGATGTGAATGGACAAGGTGCCGTGAGAGGCTGTGGTGGATGTGAATGCAGCTCACAACTCCTCGCATTTCTCTCTCTCTCTCAGCTCTCCCCCGCGCTTTCTTTCCGCTCCACTGCCTCTCGTTTTCTCTCGCTCGCTCTCTCTCTCTCTGCGCCTCCGTGTGTGCGCGACTCTCTCTCTCTGAAAGCTCTCTCTCTCTCACTGTCACGCTGTCTCCCTGTGTCTCTTCCCCTGTCTCTCCCCGTCTGTGTCTCCACGTCTCTGCGTGTCTCTCTCTTCCTCTCTCTCTGCCCGTGTCTCTCAGCAGCGTCTCCCCGCTGTATCTGTCAGCGTCTCCCCGCTGTCTCCCCCAAGTGTCTCCCCGTCTCAATGTCTCTCCAGACGGTCACAGGTGCGCGCACCCAACGCCTTACGAACCACTCCGCGCCATCATCACCACCACCACCGCCATCATCACAATCATCGCTACCAACGCACTACCATCACCACCACCATCATCACGGTCGTCCTCAATTGAAGCGGATAAACCCGAACCTTGCGCCTCCACTGCGGAGCCAGAGGAGGGGGGTGGAGGAGGGAGGGAGGGAGTGGGAGGTGATGAGAGGGGAGGAGGAAGGAGAGGGGAGGGAGAAGGGGGAGGAGCGGGGAGGGAAAGGGGCAGTCGGGCGAGGGAGGGAGGGAGGTGATGAGAACGGGGGAGGGAGAGGGCAGTGAGGAAGAAGGGAGGAGGGAGAACGGAGGGGGATGGGAGGTGATGAAAGGGAGGGAGGGGAGGAGAGTGGGGGGTTGGAACCTGATGAGAGAAGGGAACAGAAGGAGACAGGGGAGTTGAATGAAGGGAGGTGAGGTGGGAGGGTGGGAGGGGGGAGGTGAGGTGGGAGGATGGGAGGGAGGGAGGATGGGAGGGAGGGAGGGTGGGAGTTGACAGGGAAGGAGGGATGGAGGGAGGGAGGCGGGAGGGAGATGTGAGTTGATGGATGGTGAAGGGTTCGGGAGATGGGAATGGGGGTGATGGAAGGGGAGGTGATGGGAGAGAGGGATGGGAGAGATGGCGGGAGTTGGTGTAGTGTGATGGAGAGAGGATGGGGGGTTGAGGGCTGATGGTAGGAGTAGGGAGGGGGAAGTGGTGGGAGGAGGAGGGAGGGGAGGGGGCTGGAGGGGGGTGCCTCCCGTGCCCGCCTGTGTGTGGGATGGTGCTGGGGCGATGGCGACACGGGGGAGTCGTCTGTGGTTTAAAAAGATCAAGGCGTGTTCTCAATGCAGTACAGTATACACATGCAGTATACACATGCAGTATACACATGCAGTATACACATGCAGTATGCACATGCAGTATACACATGCAGTATACACATGTAGTATACATATGCAGTATACACATGCAGTATGCACATGCAGTATACACATGCAGTATACACATGCAGTATACACATGCAGTATACACATGCAGTATACACGTGCAGTATGCACGTGCAGTATGCACGTGCAGTATGCACGTGCAGTATACACATGTAGTATACACATGCAGTATACACATGCAGTATGCACATGCAGTATACACATGTAGTATACACATGCAGTATACACATGCAGTATACACATGCAGTATACACATGCAGTATACACATGCAGTATACACATGTAGTATACACATGCAGTATACACATGCAGTATACACATACAGTATACACATGTAGTATGCACATGCAGTATACACATGCAGTATACAAACACGTGCATACACGCGTACACGTGTGTATAAATACACACACAACAATCGTCGCTCGCCACCAACTGGCGGTGACGTCACCACGGTGCTTGTGCCAGGCTAGGTGCACCTCGAAGCCGTCGCGTGAAGCGCCACCAGCTGAGTTCTCCGCTGTTGTTTTATCCGCCCGTCGCTGCGTTCGCTTGTTGTGAGCGTCGCTCTTCTGCTGCCCTCCGCTGGCTGTTGGGATGCGACCGCCTTTCAACAAAGACAAAGATCCCCCGTATAGCCTTAACAGACTGTAGGGGCAAGTGCTGTTAGCGAGCACCAATGAAGGCTGGAACGGTACACGAGGGGGTGGGTGGCCAGCACTACGCCCGACCGCCTTTGTTTCCCCAGTGGCGATGTTTACACACCGCACCAGGTACTCATTTAAGGCTGAGTCGACCTAGGGGAGGCCCATGACCGGTTCAGATAATCGTCACAGGTGTTAGCCGTGAGCGAGAATCGAACCCGGGTCGCCAGGTTCATAGCGCAGCGCGCTAACCGCTACACTACCGCTCCCCGACCGCCTTTCGAACACACACACACGCACGCGTACACACACACACGCGCACACGCGCACACGCACACACACACGCGCACACACACACGCACACACACACACGCACACACGCGCACACGCACACACACACACACGCACGCGTACACACACACACGCGCACACGCACACACGCGCACACGCACACACGCACACACGCACACACACACGCGCACACACACACGCACACACGCGCACACGCACACACGCACACACACACGCGCACACACACACGCACACACGCGCAAACGCACACACGCACACACACACACGCACGCGTACACACACACGCGCACACACACACACGGTGTACAAACCTACAAAGGGGCCGTCCATAAATGACATCACGCGATTTTGGACTATTTTTGCCTCCCCCCCCCTCGTCACACGGCGTCACAAAAAGTCAGACCCCCCCTCAAATATGACGTCTCAAAGCTCTGCCCCCCCCCCCCCCAAATATAAACATGCTTCAAATTGCTTTAAACTATTTTCATTGTAGAGCGTATTTAATGTGCCGCTGCGCTCTGATGTTGTAGGAGAAAACATTTATTTAAAAAGTCTTTAATTAAGAACGTGTTGTCTATATTTATTTAAAGTTGCGCATTTTGATGTGACGTCACATTTCTCACCCCCCTCCCCCCTCTCGTCACACATCGTCACAAATGTCTGACTCCCCCCCTACAGGTGCGTGACGTCATTTATGGACGGCCCCAAAGGCGAGCTAAAGAATACCAGTTTATACCCGGTGGTGTTTAGCAAGCATCTATTAAGACCGGCACTGCACGCGAGGGGGGTGGGTGACCAACCAGTACCACGCCCGGCCGCTTTTGTCTCTCCAGTGGCGATGTTAACACCCCTCCACCAGGTACTCATTTGAGGCTGAGTCAACCTAGGGGGGAGGCCCAGGACCGATTCAGATAATCGTCACTGGTGTTGGCACGTGAGCAGGAATCGAACCCGGGTCGCCAGGTTCATAGCGCAGCGCGCTAACCGCTCCACCACCGCTCCCTCCGCACACACACACTCACACATCTACACACAACAGCTACCTGTACATACGCACACCAGTACACACAGACTCGTGCAGCATGAACAAGGGCGGTTAGCGAGCACCTATTAAAACTGGGACGCAATTGTCAACCCACGGAGATGATTGATGATTTGAACTCTCTCCCTGAACTCACCCACTCTCCTACTTCTCACCCTCACCTCTCCCCCTTCTCTCTCCCCCCTCACTCCCTTACCTCACCCTCCCTCCTCTCTCCCCCCTCTCCCCACTCACCTTGTTCCCTCAACCCCCCTCTCCCACTCACCTTTCTGTCACCTTTCTCCCTCACACCCCCCTCTCTACACCCTCTACTCTCCCTCACACTCCCCCTCTCCCCCTCTCTCACTCATCTCTCCCTCCTCGTCGTCACACTCCCCCTCTCTCCCTCATCTCTAACTCCTCTTCCTCACACCCCCCTCTCTACACCCTCTACTCTCCCTCACACTCCCCCTCTCCCCCTCTCTCACTCATCTCTCCCTCCTCTCCGTCACACTCCCCCTCTCTCCCTCAGCTCTAACTCCTCTTCCTCACACCCCCCTCTCTCCCCCCTCTCTCCCTCACCTCTCTCTCATCTCTCCACCCTCAACCCTGCTCTCTCCCGCTCTCTCCCTTAGCTCTCTCTCATTTCTCCCTTCTCCCTCACACACCCCACTCTCTCCCCCCTCACCTCTTCCTCATCTCTTCCCCCTCAACCCCCCTCTCTCCCCCTCTTTCCCTCACCTCTTTCTCATCTCTAACCCCTCTACCTCAAACCGTCTCCCCCCTCTCCAACTCACCGCTCTCGCATCTCTCTCTCTGTAACCCCTCTCTCTTTTTTACGATCAGAGGAAACAAGAAGATGATCGGTGTAGTCGCCACTTTGCTTCGTTCATCATTTAGTTTTTTTCAGTTTTTTTCCAGTGCTTTGCTTTATGTGCCTCCCCCCCATTTTAAATGAAAGATTTCACAAAAGATGTCACGCTCTGCTCTCTCGCATATCTCTCTCTCTCTGCGGCGCCCCCTCCTCCTCCTCTTTCCCGGAGTTGTGCTTCTCCTGCGCACAGCCCCCTGCCCACTGCGACTCCGGCAAGCTACTGAAGCTCCGAGGCTGCAGGAACGTGCCCCTGAAGAGCGCCCTGAACACGGCGCTCTACACGTGCTGCGTAAAGGCGCTCTACACGTGCTGCGTCAAGGCGCTCTACACGTGCTGCGTCAAGGCGCTCTACACGTGCTGTGTCAAGGCGCTCTACACGTGCCGTGTCAAGGTGCTCTACACGTGCTGCGTCAAGGCGCTCTACACGTGCTGCGTCAAGGCGCTCTACACGTGCTCTGTCAAGGCGCTCTGCACGTGCCGTGTCAAGGTGCTCTACACGTGCTGTGTCAAGGCGCTCTACACGTGCTGTGTCAAGCCGGTGTCAAGGCGCTCTACACGTGCTGTGTCAAGGCGCTCTACACGTGCTGTGTCAAGGCGCTCTACACGTGCTGTGTCAAGGCGCTCTACACGTGCTGTGTCAAGGCGCTCTACACGTGCTGTGTCAAGGCGCTCTACACGTGCTGTGTCAAGGCGCTCTACACGTGCTGTGTCAAGGCGCTCTACACGTGCTGTGTCAAGGCGCTCTACACGTGCTGTGTCAAGGCGCTCTACACGTGCTGTGTCAAGGCGCTCTACACGTGCTGTGTCAAGGCGCTCTACACGTGCTGTGTCAAGGCGCTCTACACGTGCTGTGTCAAGGCGCTCTACACGTGCTGTGTCAAGGCGCTCTACACGTGCTGTGTCAAGGCGCTCTACACGTGCTGTGTCAAGGCGCTCTACACGTGCTGTGTCAAGGCGCTCTACACGTGCTGTGTCAAGGCGCTCTACACGTGCTGTGTCAAGGCGCTCTACACGTGCTGTGTCAAGGCGCTCTACACGTGCTGTGTCAAGGCGCTCTACACGTGCTGTGTCAAGGCGCTCTACACGTGCTGTGTCAAGGCGCTCTACACGTGCTGTGTCAAGGCGCTCTACACGTGCTGTGTCAAGGCGCTCTACACGTGCTGTGTCAAGGCGCTCTACACGTGCTGTGTCAAGGCGCTCTACACGTGCTGGCGTCAAGGCGCTCTACACGTGCTGGTCAAGGCGCTCTACACGTGCTGTCGTCAAGGCGCTCTAACACGTGCTGTGTCAAGGCGCTCTAACACGTGCTGTGTCAAGGCGCTCTACACGTGCTGTGTCAAGGCGCTCTAACACGTGCTGTGT